CCTGCTGTGGCCGCGCAGAGGCAGCCACAGCAGTCCGTGGACGAGTGGGCGTGGACGTGCCCCCTCCCGCCCAGGGGCACAGCTGGTCGCAGGCCCCCAGACGGCACTGGTCAGTTCTTCAAACCGAAACTTTCCTTATCCCTGCTAATTCCACAGAGTATCCAATTATCTGGGCAAAGGAAAATTTATTTTCCTTTTTTAACATAAAACTGATTGCCAGCTAGAAATTAAAATTACGTAGGGATGTTGCTCATTACTTTCAAGACCTTATTTTCCCTTTCAATTTATGGGCCTTGCTACAATAATTTACTGGAAATTACATCAATAGTACTGGAAAGGCTTTGATCTCAGCAGGGCAAATCGGAAGAGTTGGCAGCCAAGTAATCTTTTCTTTCATGGAAGAACATATCGGGGATGACAGAAGCTGCCAATAAAGAATTTTGATTCAATGAGGCAAATTAAGATGACATCGATGGGCTTTTGATTTCAGTAAGCGGGAAAGGCCCAGAATTCTGCTAGGAATCCGGGAAAAACAGTAACTCGTCTCCTGTGGACTTGAGGGCAGGCTCGAGAACCCGGGCGGCACCCGGCACCCTGCCCTGGGGCCCAGCCCCGCCCCACGCTGACGCGCGGGGGCCCCAGCTCGCTGCACAGCCCCCGGAGCTACCTGCGTGCTCCCTGCCCGCCCTGCCTGCGAAGACGGGAAGAAAACCAGGGTCCAAGGAACTCACAATAGATTCTTGCGAAAGAATGGAGTAAATGGAATAACACACGAAGTTCGTGTCACTAGCTTCTTGCCAAATACGACACTTTGAAAACCTGCGGTAGCGTCTGCGCCTCTTGAGACTCAAGCTCCCACGGTGGCCTCCCAGCCCCGCCAGAGCCGGCTCGCCCCGCCCGCTGCGGGCTGTGGTGGCCTCGGCTGCCCTCGCCTCCGCGCCCTGCTGGCTCACTCCTCAGTGCTGCGCCCAAGGGGCCTCCCCCAGGGCTTTCCCAACTGATGTTTCTCCTCGTGTATTTTTTCCTCTTCAGATGCTGCTAATCACCAGGCTGCTGTTTTCCGAGGCGCACGTGGCCTTTGCTGTGTTAGGTCCACATCTCGTCATGCATCGACCGGACGTAGGCGGGACGTCCAGAGCTGTCTGCCCCCTGAACAGCGCAGGGCCGGCCTGCAGGTCACCAAGGACTCCGGCTGGCCACGCAGTCAGCGTCCACTAGCGTCGTCAGTGCTCACGGAGGAGACGGTGGCCACTCCGCCCCGCACCAGGCTGCAGCTCTGGGAGTGGCGGGAACCGGGACCCAACTTCCAGAGGAGCTCGCAACCCTCAATGTCGGGGCAGGGACAAGCTTCCTCTGGCGTCGGGGGGACGTGAAGTTGCGCAGAGACGCGATGCAGCCCCGTGGCCGATGCGCCGGCGGGCTTGCAGGCGAGAGCTGCCGCGGAGCAGTCACCTGCTGAGCGTTCTCGTCATAACGCCAGTGTGAAAACCAAACTAGGGAGACTTACCCCGGTGAGGTACTCTGGAGACATTCTGATTTGGGGTTAAATGACCAAAAGCGGATTGCTGAAAGCACATCCAGAATTACCTGGGGGTGAGTGGTGAGCAAGGAGGACCCAGACACGTAGGACACTTTCTCATAGTGGGACTGGATGATCCAGTTGGAGCTCCCGAGGGCATAGCCAGAGCTCAGAGGAGTCACCTGGACGGCGCCGAAAAGCTCCTGGGAAGAACCACAGGGAGAACGAGGGAGCCTCAGCGATGCAGACTCGGCAGAGAGGTTCGTCGTGAACCCCAACTACCCTCTGCTGGGACACAGAAATTATTTTAGAGCAAGCTGGGACGTTTCTGGCAACGAAGAAATGCTGGAGCCCACGAGGCCCACGCGGGAAGCAGGCCGCGGTGTTTGTCACCCTGAGCGTTGGCTGGTGCAGCCCTGGGCCACAGGCCTCGCTCGCTGAAGTACGGGGACAGTTACTGCCGGATGGACCAGAAAGGCAGATCCGCTTCCAGGTGAAGGGTCAGGTTCAGGCGAGGCAACAGAACAGGCCCCTGCTCATTGCCAGGCCCGAACGCAAAAGCTGAGCTCACCCAAGGGCTCCTTAGCTCTCTGTGCTCCGAGCTCTCTCTCACGTGTACAAACCCGGGGCGCCCACTGTGCTGTAGGAGGAGGCCGGAGGCCCTGCTCACCCTTACAGGCCGCCAGCGAGGGCAGATGACGGGTCTTCCCACCTTGTGTCAGTGCAGCTTCTGAGTGACTGACCGGTGTAAGGAAGTCAGCTAAGGGGCCTTGCAAAGACCAGCAGCAGGAATGAGAAGCGCTCATACACCAAACCTAGCAACTCACAATTTTCTGGGAGTAGCCCACCAGCCGGATCTTACTGAGGGCGGCGTTGACCTCTTGCATGGTGTAGCATCCCCTCCACGTGGCAACCTCCACGGCGTCCTTGAGGGGGGAGGGCAGCAGCCTGGAAGTGCATGCACGACAGCTCATGTGAGAGGGCATTGCGCCAAGGGCCACACCGGGCACCCCCGTGGCCCAACCACGGCAGAGAGCTGGCTCCCGGCGCCTACGATCGTTCCTGCTCCCCTGAGGTTCACGGTGCCCTCCCGCTTTGATTACTGACCCAGTAACTGGAAGCTTCTCTTCTGTTCTAGCTTAGGCAAAGGCCTGTCAGTTTTGTGGATTTTTTTTTCCAAAAAATCAACTTAGTGTTTAACTCTGTTTTCTCTAATATTTTTTAGTTTCTGCTTCAACTAGCATGCGGTGGAAGCTTGGGTGTGTTTACTTTTTAGAGCTGCAGCCCGATGGCCGCTGCCACTCAGTGGACTGTTGAAGCCCTCACATGTAACAGCCGACTGATGGGCGGGCGGGGCCACGGGTGCCCGGCTGCAGCCTGGCCTTCTGGGTGCCTCTGGCTTTGCTTGTTGCTCTATTCATTTCATGACTGTTTCCACCTTTTTAAAAAGTTATTTCCTTGGGGTAGTTTCAGGGCTTATCATCTACATCTTATGCATATGGCCTCTGATAGTCTCCCTCTCGTTCACAAAAAAGTAAATGAAATAGACTATACTTATAGGTCTGCAGAGCTATAGAAATGGACTTGATTAAATGCAGTGAGGTTTGGTCTAAAAGAGGAAAATAAAACATGATTTGTGAAAGCATTCCTACCAGTAAGTCAGCAAAAATGTGTCATTAGAAAAACTTTACATTCATTCTAATGTTGTCCAGAACACATCTGAAGAGTCTATTCCCTGAGATTCACTGTACAATAGGAGTTAAAAATGTTGTGGGAAATTGAATATGTGCAATAACTCTGCCTTCTCTCCTGAAACACCGATGAATAATAATAGTACAGGTCAAACATTCACAAGCTGTCAAGAGAATAAGAAAGAAAAAAACAAGAGCGTCTTAGAAATGGAAAGCACAAAGTCTCAGTGCAACTTTAAAGTTCATTTCAAGCAACCTAATTACACTGTGACCCACCGAGCTCAGCATTAGAAACAACAGGTATGTCTGAAAGACTCAGGTTGATCTAGGTCTTACAGCGGATTTATGGAAAAAGTGTATTAAAAAGTAGAAACAGGCCCTCCCTGGTGGCGCAGCGGGTTAAAGCACAGCACTGAGAATCCAAAGCCGCTTCCACATGAGTTCGATTCCCGCCTGCCCCGGAGGTGACCACATGGCGTGGCAGACCTCTCCTGGCCCGCCCGCTGCTCCCCTCAGCAGTGTACTTCGTCAATCTGCCTGTTCTGCTTCCCACTCTGTCTCTGGTGAGTCCTCTCACCCTCCGCATCTCTGGCCTGTACCCCAGTTCTGTATAAATAAATAAATAAAATTAAAAAAAAAAAAGTAGAAACATCCAGCTCATGTCACCTATACCTGATAGTTCAGCAAATTGCCCCTTCCTCTCCCAGGCAGGATGCCAGATTCTCCATGGCATGTTAAAACCAGTCTAGACCAGCCCTCCTTGCGGGCGCAGCGGGTTAAAGCGCAGCGCTAAGAAGCTAAAGCCACTTCAGCATGAGTTCGATTCCCGCCTGCCCCAGAGGTGACCACATGGCGCGGCAGGCCTCTCCTGACCCGCCCGCTGCTCCCCTCAGCTGTGTACTTGGTCAGTCAGTCTGTTCTGCTCCCCGCTCTCTCTGTCTCTGGTGAATCCTCTCACTGCCTCTGCACCTCTGGCCCATACCCCAGTTCTGTGTGCATAAATAAATCAATCTTATGAAAACACAACAACAGTTTAGACCAAGGGACACCATCGGCAGCAGCAGACAGCTTTCTGAAGCAAAGTTTATATACTGAGAATAATGATTTTCTTCTCCTCATACACTTCCAGTGAGCCTCATTCCCTTCAGGGTAGGAGAATGGAAAAGCCTCTAAAATATCTGATCAGCATCAAGCAATAAAAATCAATGAGAAAGATATATAGCAAAATGATTCAACCAGATCACATTCTGGTAAAGTCCAGAATTCAAGGCCTATTCATGGTACAGACTTTCTAATCAGTTTCTTGTTTTTCAACATCTAAACATGAGCCAATAGCCAACAATCAGCACACATTTGAGGAAAGTCTCTAACACAATAAAGGCAAAACAACTGGAGGGTAAAAGGGAGAGGAAGTGAGGGGACAACCTGGGCAGGTGGATGAAACTGAACAACTCTCATTACTAACCCTAGAGAGAGAAATAAGATAGTGTTACCTAAGTATTGAGAAGAGACTGCTATTGAAGAGGGGCATTGGGAGAACAGAAGGAGCTCTTATAAATATATAATAGCGCAGAGACAATGAAAATATTAGCAAAATATACCTAATTTTTAAAGAAGCAAAAATCATTTAAAAAAGTTACTTAAGGGCCCTCCCTGGTAGCACAGTTGGTAAATGCCGCACTAAGAAGCTAAAGCCACCTCAGCACGAGTTCGATTCCAGCCCTGGAGGTGACCACAGGGCGCGGCAGACCTCTCCTGACCGCCCGCTGCTCCCCTCAGCAGTGTGCTTCATTGATCTGCCTGTTCTGCTCCCCACTCTGTCTCTGGGGAATCCTCTCATTGCCCCTGCATCTCTGGCCTGTACCCCAGTTCTGTGTGCATAAATAAATCTTAAAAAAAAAAAGTTACATAAGATATGAAAAAAAATTACATAAAAGCTTGAAAAGTTTAAAAATGAGTGGCCAGACTCAAAAATGAATAAAGAGATTTACAAATAAAGACTAAACTAACAGAAATACAAGAGTGGAAAAACAACAGATTATGCCATGAGAAAGATATAGGAAGAAAAATTTCAAACACTAAAAAGAAATAACAAGATATAAATAATTTGAAAGAAAGTGGCAAACACTGAATACAGATGGGGGGGGGGTACAACATACGGATAACAGGAGTCCCCAGTAGAAGTCCCTGTGAGAAGTCAGAATGTGAAAACTGTAATTGGTAAAGCAGACCTGAAGCCAGACACGAGAGGACACGGGCGTGCCAGAGTGCTGGCACCAAAGACGAGCACCAGACACATTCTGGGAAACACGTAACCACAGAGGGCACAGATAAAGCCCTAATAAGCAAGAGCAAGTTACTTTATAAGGGAAAAGAGTAGATTATAATCAAAAAGTTCAATAGCAATGTTTTACTAGGAGAAAACAGAGTAATGTATTTACGATGCTCAAAGAAAGAAAATGCAAGTCAAGGATTGTACACTAGCAAAATTGACTTTCAAGGTCACAGAGCACAGATAACAATTATTGACCTACAAGAACTCACGAAATATTGTTCTCATGATCTCATCTTAAGTTATCTTCTGAGGAATGAGTTTCAGACAACCAAAATGTCTTTGGAAACATCAATATATTGGCTAGTAGGTTGTGAGCATAAAATGTGCAGTTGCTTATAAAAATAAGAACAACTGAAGGTCAAAAGTGAGAGAGAATAGTATGTAATGGCTATATGTTCTCACAATACTGATGTAGTAAAAACAGAGAAAAAAATCAGAGAAAAATGCATATGCTTTGTCCTGAAAAAGGAGTCACGGCCAACAAGAGAGGGCCTGGCCACCCCATTCTGGACTGACAGGGCCCACTGAGTACTCAGCACACAACTGAAAACTGTCTTGCAAGACATCAGCACAAGCTTAGGAACAAAGAAAAGACTCTGAAAGATTCCAGAGGCCGAAACAGGATACAGACTGATGATCCATTCAGAATAGCACTGGCTTTCCACAGCATTCTGAAGCAGAGGAAACACAGCAGTGTCTTCAAGACTCTAGTCTGGCTTTCTACCCCGAGTGTGAGGGAATAACAAAGCCCCCTGAGATGTGTAAGATCTCAGGAACTTTACCTCCCTGTTGAGTGGGGGATGTGTAAAATGAAGGCGTGAAAAAAAAGCAGGGGCTTCTAACAGAAGGAGGAGGTGAAAAAATCCCCAGGATAATGACTAGAAAATGCCCAGCTGGAAGCCGTGTGGCAGCCCAAGAACAACTGAAATCAGACAGGAGGGTGTGGGGGTGGGCAGGTGGGGGAAAGAGGTCTGAGAGAGGATTTCCAGAGAAGAAGAAACTGTTAGAACACTCCTTGAGTTTGAATATACCGTGGAGAGATTTCTACAAATGTGAGGCAGAGTGTATGCAAGCAAGACAGTCACTAACTCAGGGGAAAACAAAAGCTGGACTTGAGAAGGAAAAATGCTGCTAATAATGTTAAAAGTCAGCGAGGTACATTTATCCAGTCATGATAATGTAAACACAGAATACTTAGCCAACATAGCATTTACATCAAGTTGTTTTAATTCTCTTTACCTTTTATTTCTCCAGCAACAAAATATCAATAATCTTTCTCTTGAGCTTCCACATTAACAGACACATGAAGATTTTATTTCACTCATCTGTTCTGTGTATATTGAACTCCTTTAGTTTTCACAATATTTATTCAATAAATATGTACTCAGCCTTGGCTGCAGTCGCAGCATGTAAGCCTAACAGACAAAGGCCTCTGCTTCAAGGGGCTTAAGCCTAAGAAACATTTTACAGCAATACAAGGCGACAAGTGAGACATCACAGCCATGAGTCACCTCGGCCTGCAGGCCTCCTCCCCACAGAGGACCTAAGTGGCAGATGAAAAATGCAGAGCCAGAGATACACGCTCTCTAAATGGCTCGCCATTACGTCAGGATAGCATCCAAGGCTCTCAGCGTGACTTCTCGATAAGGCCCTTCCGGCAGCGTCTATGAAAAATTTCAACTTCCTGTGACAACTGCCAACCTGGCTTCTTTCCTCTCTGTCCTGGTGCCACAAGCTGAGCTCAGTCGAGCCAGTCACCTGCCGATCGTGCCTCTTGTCTGCACCTACCCACACAGCTCCCTCTTCTGGAAGGCTCTCTACTGGCCTCACGCCGGCCGGGCTTTTACTTCCCCAGCCTAGGTCTGGCCTCTGAGCACCTAAATGTTGCTTGGCAAGCTTCCCCAGTACAGGAACTACATCTTAAAGCGTTCTAGGGGCATTTTTCTACTTAGCATAGTGCCAGACACTTGGAAGTTGACATGTCTCAGGTTCTCTGAATTCTACGAATATGCCCATAAAAAAGCTGCTTGCTGACTTCCCTCCCTTAGAGCTCCTCAGTCACTTTGTCATTGCTTTCTTCTATCTTCTAAAATCTTTTCTAATGTAACTTTCCCTAAAGCTCTCCTCAGGCTTCCTTGAGGTCATAATTGGACGAGGTATTTGAAGAGCCATTCAAAGCTATTAGGATTATTGGCCGATACAGGATAAGTCAGATAAGGAGATGCAGTGGGAACCAGTTGTTTTTTTCTGGCCTTCTAATTTATCAAAGTCAAGTTCTCAGAGCCTAAATGTTTCTTAAGTACTTTCTAAAAGATTTCATTGTTTTGTTTTGTTCTTATCACTCTGAGAGCTTAATAAACTTTCCCCAGTGCCGACCTCTGCCAGGCACACTCACACTCTCCTCCCCTGCAGGCAGTGCAGGGTTATGTTTCTGTTAAAGAGTAAGGCTTGCAAGTCCCCAGGGACCACTTCAAGGCTTATACATAAAACACTGGCTGGGCTTTTCCCAAGCGGTTGATGAATGACTGAGGGAAAACATGTAGGTAAGCGCAGGAGACAAAGATCAGCAGCAGAAGCGCTTCCTCTCACTGCGGCAGCTTCCACGTGTGGGGTGCGAGCTGCAAGCGGAGCTTCAAGAACTTTTCACTATCAGCCTGAATCTAGGCTGTCACCCTTGATTTTTGTTTTAGTTCAGTTTATCTCTAACATGGACAAAAGCCACGGCTCAGGCCACCAAAGCACCAGAGGAGGGGCTCACCAGAACACACTCAGGTAGAATGTGCTCTCATGGCCTTGCTGAGCAGAACAGTACCCCAGACAGATGAGCAACTGTCTAGTATCAAGTAGTTACAGGGGACTTTTCTTTGTCAGCCGATGCCCAAGGAGCTTGGTTAGTATGAGTCAGTCCCTCAGAGGCTAATCAGCCCCGGCTGAAATGAAATGAAGAAGCTTCTGGAATTGCCAGGCTGGAGAGTAAACGCTGATGCTTCCATCGGGAACGGCCACTCTGGGGCTGCGTAAGGAACTTTTCCCACCGACATCTTTAGAAACTGTGATACAAGTGAGATGGGAGAGCGAGTGACTCAGTTCTCGTGTTTACAAGAAGGAGAGTGAGTCTCAGGGCCCGAAGGCTTGTGCAGCAGTGGGATGAGCGCGTGGCCTCAGGGAGCAGCCTCCCGCTGCCCCTGCAGCCTGCTTCCATCACGGAAGGCGGTGTGAGGACAGATGAAGTGAGGCTGAAAGGGGCTACGCGGGCCGAGTGGACGGGGAGAAGCAAAGGCCGCTGGCGTCTCCTGGGCACCTCCGTGCCGCACTGTTTCGGGGACTTGACTTAACGTCACTCACTTTGTCCTCCTCATATCCCTTGGAAGTCGCTAAGGCCACTTCTAATTTGTATGGGAGGAGACGGCCTACAAGAAATACGCTGCTGCAGCTACCAGGCAGGAGACCTGAAGTTCCATCACCAAGCTGTTTGACCTCCAAGCCTGCAGCTTTAATTTCCTCCCTACTACATAGCGAGACCTATAAATGCCTCACAAATAGCCAAGAGCACAGAACTTCAACCACAATGTTTTTTTTTCTAGTTTGCCTTCTGTACGGTAAGAAGTCTCCCTTTAAGCTCTGAGCACTAAAAATTGCCATAACATTTCAGGCAATAACTCCTTAGTGCCTGTGAGGGGGTTATGACAATATCCTGCAATGATTTAGTCTTAATTATAATTGTAGATTTCTTGTCGGAGACAGAAAATGCTGCTGTCTATAAAAATGCTGGAGGCCGGTGACTTTCAGGAGGGGGACTGTTTTGCTTTGCATTTTCCCATTAACAACCTGAATTTTGAAGTGAGTACAGGAAAGTCAGACTCAAAAATGATATTGCAAGAGTCTCCTTTTCTTACCCTTCAAAGTGTCTTTCTCAGAAAAGTAAATGGCAGTGTGAAAGTGAGGGAGGATGCTAACGGCCCCTAAATAAACCTGCAGCAGCCGTGTCAACCGCAGCGAAGCCAGACAGCCGCCAGACCAGGAGTGGTCATTCTCAGTGCTGTAGACATGACACTGCCTCAGCCCCCCCCCCCC